TTAAGATTTATTTATTCAAGAACCGGGGTACAGGCCAGATGAGCGGGAAGGTGAGAGGATTCACCAGAGACAGAGTGGGGAACAGAACAGGCAGACTGACGAAATACACTGCTGAGGGGAGCAGCGGGTGAGACAGGAGAGGTCTGCTTGCCATGTGGGTTGCTCTGAGGCCGGCAGGGATCAAATCGGCACTGCAGAGGCTGTGGACAGCTTCACAGCGCTGCGCTCAGCCGCCTATGCCACCAGGGAGGCCCCTCGCAATAATGTTATATCAATATATTTATGGGTCGGGCTGGTTATCTTTAATTGAATAATAACTGCGTAATACAGAAAGTATAGAGAAGCATAAAGGAAAGAATTGTCAGAATTTTTACCACGTCAGTTAATACTTCAATGCAAGTGAATTTTTACCACATCAGTTAATAGTTCAGTGTGAGTGCAGTATTTTTTTCCTAATGGGAAAGTAAATACCCCATTGTTATCAGCTGCCTTGCCCCCAGCCTTTTGCTACCTTTTTGCTAGGCAACATGTTAAATGTTAAATACTAGGTGCGTAAAGATTAATAATGAATAGGACTTCTCCCTACCTGCTCTGCAAAAAGTGCACAATGTAACTCCTGTTGCAGTTTGCAAACTTTTGTGTGGTCGAACTACATTTCTTCTGGTGTTCTATATTTACTCAGTAGGTGCTAACCAACTATAATAATCCTGGTTTTAGTATGCATATACTTTTTGTTTTTAGATTTATTTATGTGTAAAAGAACTGGGGTCTAGTCCAAACGTGCAGGGGCTTGAGAGGATTCACTAGAGACAGAGTGGGGAGCAGAATAGGTGGATCCACTGAAATACACTGCTGAGGTGAGCAACAGGCAAGACAGGAGAGGTTTGCTGTGCCATGTGGGTCAGCTTCCTGGCTGAGAATTAGATTCAGGCCTTAGCAGTGATAGTGCTGAGACTTAACCTCTAGGCCAACATCGAGGCCCTGCCGTGAGTATTTGAAGCGTAGTTAATACTGAGTTGTATGTATTTGTAGAAGGGATTTGACACAACTACCTACTATGGTAGAAACTCTCCAGGAGGGTAGCCTTGGGGGAGTGAAGGCTTATTGTGATTGCCTTACAAACATGAGTAATAAACAAGTGGGGGTAGACAGCCAAACCCAGTATCATTTCAAGATCCTCTTTGAAGGGCTGTGAGGTTAAAACTATTTTCATAACAATAAGGCAACATTTGCTTTTTTTTTTTTTAAACATTCTTCGTATACAGAATGTATGTAGAGGAGCTTCCCAGAAGCTACAGGAGATACAACACGGAACAGACTGAACACTGGCAGAAAGGAGAGCCCAGCTGTCTTCTCTTAGGCGACATTGTGAAACATTGACACTGTTAACTGAGGCGTTTTTTAGAAAATACTTTTTATTAACATGTTAAAATGCAGTGGTTCTGGTTTATTTAAAAATGCTAATGTTGACAATATTGAAATAAAACCCACAGAAATGAAAATAATTTGGGTCCCTGAGAGCTGCTAGTTTAAACAAGCAAGAATGACTTGAAGGCATATGTCAGAAACCCAAGCCCTACCCAATTGGCGTGATTTGTTGTGTCATATTGGGCATGCAGCTCAAGTCCTAAGCTGAGTTTTCTTAATTTTCTAGGTCGGTATCTCTTCTTGAATGCAATTGCAAATCAGCTGCGGTACCCAAACAGCCACACTCATTATTTTAGCTGTACCATGCTGTACCTTTTTGCAGAGGCTAACACAGAAGCTATCCAAGAACAGATCACAAGGTAAGCGAGGTTTGCTTTGCAAAATGGTGCTTTATCCCCTTTGTGTGAATTTTCTAATATTTCCCCCCTGTACATTCAGTGTAAATTGAACTTCTTTTACGTGTGTTAAGACTGAGCACAGTTGAGGAAAAAACGGACCTGGTTCCTGCCCAGTTATTTTGATGGAGACACACACAAAAATCACACATAGGGAATTATAAATCATTGCTGAAATTAAAAAGTTACATGAAAAGGTGCCAACATTTTGATTCAAGATCAGGAATTTCTCTGAGGTGGTACTGTTTTTAATTGGAGTCCTGATTGCACAGGCCTGTTAAAGGCCATGTTGGAGAGCTTAAACTATTTTCTTCATTACTGCTGGGTTGAAAAGGTTTTAGACTATCAAAAATTGCTATCACTGAATGTCTAGGTTATATATAGTGTCCTGGTTTTTGTGTGACTACATACAAAACTACTGTGAACTCCCTTGTACTTAGATCTTTGTTCTTGTGTTTTATTTTCAAATGCGGTTGATTATGTCAAAGGTGATGAATATTTAAGCAAATACTGTTTCCTTCCAGAGTATACATTTTTTTTTTTTTAAAGATTTTTTTTTTTAATAGAGGCATGTTTTTTTTTTTTTTATTTATTTGTTTGTTTGTTTGTTTTGTTTATACATGCACTGGGTACAGTCAGAAGCGCTGGAGGGTGAAAGAATTCACCAGAGCCAGAGTGGGGAGCAGAGCAGGCAGAAGGACTGAAGTACACTGCTGAGGGGAGCAGTGGGTGGCAGGAGAGGTCTGCGCGCCATGTGGGACCCTCCTCTGGTGGCTGGGGAGCAGCCGGGGATCGAACCGGCGCCACAGAGGCCGCGGGCAGCTTCGCAACCCAGCGCTCTACCGCTGCGCCACCTGGGAGGCCCCAGAGTATACATTCTTTAAGTGATTACTTTGTGTGCCATGTAATCTGATTTATTCTAAGAAAAGAGAAGCTTTAAAACCTAGGCATTCTAATACCAGAATCCATCTGCATTAACCATGCTGTGCAGCCAGTGAATACCTACATTTAAACAACTTATATGTAACTTTTATGTAAAGGGAGAGTAGTCATGACTTTGCACCTCTGCACTAACTTTTCTCTTCTCTAGGGTTCTCTTGGAACGGTTGATTGTAAATAGGCCACATCCTTGGGGTCTTCTTATTACCTTCATTGAGCTGATTAAAAATCCAGCATTTAAGTTCTGGAACCATGAGTTTGTACACTGTGCCCCAGAAATTGAAAAGTGAGTTAAAATTAATTTTTTTGTCTAATGTGAGAATCATTTGATGGCTCAGCTTGGGTGGGTGATTAAGAAGACAGCAGTAACCAGAATGTAACCAGCAGTAACCAGCTGAATGTGCCTCACAGACTGACTGTTTCCCTTCTCTCTAGGCTATTCCAGTCGGTTGCACAGTGCTGCATGGGACAGAAGCAGGCGCAGCAAGTAATGGAAGGGACAGGTGCCAGTTAGATGGAACCGCATCTCCGTAAATGTGTCAGCCTGTACCAAGTTCATAAACTGGCTGAAGATTCCTTTCAGCTCTTCCTGACTCTCCCAGCCCTTTGGTTCTTGGGTATCCGCCCCAAATGCTGTTGGGGTCAGCTTCCTGTCTGTCTGGATACCTTCCAAAGTTTAATGCATTTTTTGACTCAGCCAAATTTAGATGCTGTGAATATAATTTTGAACTTGTGTAAATATATAAAAGAGAAAACCTTTGTCTGGAACTTCTTGATGAACTGGTACCTCCCCAACTTGTAATTGAAGAGGCTGCTTGATGCCATGCACTTGGTCTGAGGTCCTAGCTCCATGTGTTCTGACATTCCTGTTATCCCAAACATCAGCCAAAAAGTCAGTAATACAGCTTTTCTAATGTGGACAAGGGACTTGAAAAGTTTTCACAATTGTGGCTATTCTAGAATTTGGTATGCCAAGGAATGTGGGGAAAAGCTTGAAATTCAGATCCCTTGGGTTGGTTTTGCCTCTTTACTAAATTGAAAGCTGATTACTGGGAAGATATTTTATCGAAACACCACAGGCCCTTGTGACAGTTCTTAAAAAGGGAATCATGCTTAAAGCCTCCTCATCTCTTCTGATGTTTGTGGGAAATCGTGGGGAAAATGAAACCAAATCATATGAATTGCCTTCCCCCATTATCCCAGTGAATGGCCATACAGGCTAAGTGGAACAAGAAGAAAATCAAAAGGACCAACATAGCTACCCCCTTTTGTAAGGATCTTGAATGTTTTTGTAAATATTGGTCTTTTGTAGCCGTTCTAGTTCCTGGGCTTTAGCTCCCCTACTACTTGTATGTGTGCACACTGTAGCTCAACATTAAAGTCCTGACATGTATGCCTGAGTCCACTGTGCCTTTCTCAGTCGCAGCAGCCTGTGCTGGTGGTGAGGAGGAAAGTGGACCACAGAGCCCCAGGGCCATAGGGGAAACAACAACTTTTTTGTTGAATGATTGGTCTTTCCCCTTACTAATCTGGCATTTAGAAAGGATTTTTGCATAGTATTTTATTTCTTCCTTTTCCCCTTTAACAGAAAATTGTTAGAGCAATTATATAATTCTGTCTAATTATAATTAAACAGAATTATAAAGTACCTATTTTTGTTAGAATTCTTGACGTTTATGTTTTTGATACCAGTTTTTGATGAGAAGTTTGAATGTATTTAAACTTCATGCCTTACCTTTAAAGACTGGCAAGTTTTATGGCCACAGAGGACATATTAAATAGAAGTCTTACTGTGAATGGGGCTTGAATGTCATTGGTTTCTTTCCTGAATGGTGAGTTGTACCATGTACAACCAATTCCAACTGCTGTGGAATTAAAACAGTTGCTGAGTGCCAGTTATAAACAGCTTATTAAATCCTCTAAAAGCAAAAAAATAAAAATTGAAGTTAAAGAAACTTGCTCAAAATAGACCAGGATTTGAAGTAGGTCTACTTTGAGTCCATGTTATTAAACACTAGACTGACTGCCAGACTTAACTACTATCATGTTCCTGCTGCCTTTGATCAAGACACCAAATAACTACAAATGTATTGGTCTTAATGACAGTTAGAAATAATTCCCAAGTGTGCTGATCCCCATCATTCCACATGAGAACCTTACCTTAGTGTTACTACTAGCACACCACCTTTGCTGCTTTTCCTTTTGGCATTTAATAAGAAGCAAACAATCCAAGTTTTCTTTTCAAGCATCTGTGGGTAATACCAGTTTAGAATAAAGCTCTTCTTGTGGATGTTCCTTCAGGCAATAGGGAGTCTATTAACTTGTCAATTCCAATAACTGGTGTAAGATCATCTTCTGGCCATAACGAACCTGTAAAGCCTGTTGTTCCCTCCAGCTGAGTTTGGTGTATACCTCTTTGTTACCGAGTAAATCTTGCTCAGTTTTTAAGTCTGTGGCATAGGTTTTCAAGGTCAACAGAACACTGTCCCGAAGGAGCTGTCTCCATGATGCTTTGAGCTTGGGAATATTTGTGATTGCCAGGCTGTCCTCTTCGCTTTTATCATCTTCCCACCCATCCTGGTCTTTAAACTCTCTGAAGTCCTCAGCGGGCATGCACAGTACCTGGATGCAAACATAGGCTCCTTTAATTACGATGAGCTATTTGTATCCCTGAAACTGATTTAGAGAAACCAGCCTATTGGCAGTCTTCTTCCATGACCCCTTCCTCTCTTGCTAGCTTTATCTCAGTGGAAATGCTTAAAGCTATTTTCAGTGTTAAATGATGACTCTCAGCCCTTTACCTTGAGAGTGGTGGTCAGTTCCTCTTCAGTCAGCACCTCCTTCCGCCCAATCACGAAAGCCCCTTCTTCCCCTACCATCTCCAGTTTGCATAGGAAATCCCAGCGTTCATACAGTAGAAGCCTTTCAGCTTCCACCTTTATTCCTGTGGGTAGAAAAGTCTGTGAAAGTCTCAGTACAGCCAAACACTCATTTCTCCCACCTAATCCCACAAAGGGGGCGACTGATACACAGAAGAGCACAGTGAGATGGGACAGGTTCGCCATGGCCCAAGGTTGAGTTACCCTGTAACGCTGCTTCACGGACTGTCACCATCTGAATGTCAGCTGTGTCGTCCGTGTTGTCAGGATATGGTTCAACAAAACCGTACATATGAATCAGTTGCCAGTTAGCCATTTGACCATAAGTGTTGAAAATCTCATGGCCTTTAGGAATGGGCTGAGTGGCCACCATCCGAAGACAATCCTGGGATAGAAGAGAGACATGAGTCAGGCTCTTCCCAGGCTGACCCTCTGTAAAGTCCCTCTTAGTCTCACAGGTGTGTTGTGATGGGACTGGCCCTCTGTCCACCAGCATCCTGGGAGACCCTGCGCTGTAGTGGGGGTAGCCAAGGTCAGCCTTCGTCCTTTCCTAGGTCAGTCCCTTTGCTTAGTTTTCTTCAGCACTGAAAAAAGTTGCTTGTTTTTAAAAATAAACCCAGATCAAACTAGGAAAGGCAAAAATAACAGCCATCTCCTAATTTTTAATTCTGATCTTGCAACTTCCCACAAAGCAAACAATCCCTGAGGTCATCTCTAACCACTGGCCTGGGAACATCCCTCTCCTCCAGAAAAGGACTGAGCTATTCCCCTCTGCTGTCCAGTGTCCCAACACCATCTTGGCTTATTGGCACAACATCAACAGCTGACCTCTTCCACCGACTAAATGGCAGTGTATAGTTTTATCAGAAGATTAACCACAACCTGCTTTGAAAGCTCTGACATGTTTCATGTCCAAACTGTCACTAGAATATGCAAAGTACATACAGGAGGCTCTAACCACCTCGTTTTTTAACAAGAGAATGAGGTCTAGTATTCAGCCCAACTGCGAGGGCAACATAAATGACACTGGTTTGAATGAAATGCTCAAAGCACTTAACAAGAACTGCAGGGGACCCACTCACTGGAGAGTATTCTAGATTGGCGTTGTGATGGGCCACGTGGTTTAGTATGTCTGCAGCCGGCACCATCAGAGGGGGTTGGGCTCCTTGTCGTCGTCCTCTTCCTCCAGTGGTTCCTGAAAACTGCCACAGAGAGAACATGGCTGACGTCCAGGGCTGGTGGGAGACTGGGGGTGGGGTTCACTGTATTTTCCCCTCTTGTCCCTCTAAGAAAAAGGCCCTTTTCTGCTCGCTCACCTGTAGGCCATCACAAGAGCCACGAGCTGCCGGTAGAGTTCCAGGGAGCGAACCCTGGGGCTGAAAAGCTCAGGGTGGGCTTCCATGAAGGGCAGCACGATGGAGTTGTACTCGCTGCGGATGTTGTCCAAGTCCTTCTCCACGGCCTCAGGGACGCCTGTGCCCTGCAGCAAACGCCGGCGCTCCTCCTCCGGCCTGCAGTGACACCCCATGCAGGTTCCCTTCACACTGCCGGGGCAGGCGTCACTACAGGCGGCTGGGCGGGCGCCCCCAAGTCCCTCCGAGGGTCCTCACCAGAACATCGGGTGCTCCAGGCGGCCCAGCTCGGGCCAGAGCGCAAAGTAGGGGCTCCAGGGCGACGTCGGCGCCTGCAGCTCGTGGAGCAGCGCCAGCAGCAGCGGCACCCAGCCAGACTGGCTCTGCAGCGCGTCTCGCTCTGAGGGACACCCAGAGGTGAGCGCCCCGCGGGGCGCAGCCGCGGGCCCGCTCGGCGCCCCCGACTCCCAGCCCCGCGGCGGGCCCACCTCGCTCCAGCAGGCCGCCGATTGAGCAGGTGTGCTGCGACAGGAGCGCGGCCCGCGGCACCGCGAACAGCAGCTCCCCGGGCTGCACGCTCTCCCGGGCCACCATGCCGTAGCCGGCCACCGTGCCCTGCCGGCTCACCGCCACCTGCCGGGAAGCCGCCGTGAGAGCCGGCCCCTCCCGCACGCGTCTTCCTCCACCCGCCGCCCGCCCTCCACTCACCTTGGGACTCAGCTCCAGCCCCACCTGCCCGCACCAGCTCAGGAAGCCGGACACCGGGTCCGGGTCCGCGGCCGCGTCCGCGTCGGCCCCGCGCACGGGCCCGGCCACCTAGGACGATCGAGCGCAGTGGCGAGGCCCCGCCGGGGGGAGCTGGAGGGGGCGGGGGCCCGCGGGGGGCGCGGGGGCGCGGGGCAGGGGCGCGGGGCGGCGCGGCGGGGACCGGGCGCGGGGGAGGCCGGCGCCCCGAGCGCGGGCCGCGGGCCACTTACCCGCCGGCGCTTCGCCTGCGCCGCCATCTCGGAGGTGCTTCCGCCTCTGGCCACGCCCCCGGGGCGGGCTCGGGGCGGGGCCTCCGGGCCACGTGGGCTGCGCTTCTGCGCCGGCGCCGAGCGGGTGGGGCGTGCACGTGGGTGCTCCCGGCCTCTGGACACCCCCCTCCAAGTCCAGGTGACCCCGATTGTTTAGAGAACTTGAGGTGCGGAGAGACTGGTCCCCGAGCCGCCTGTGGCCTGGTTCTTGGCCAGGCACAACCCTCCCCAGGGGCTTCCCCGCTGAGGCCTCTCGGGGTAGGAGGGGTTGTTACAGGGCAGGGGGAGGGGCCGCCCAGACCCCGCAAACCTGCCTGTTCTATATAGGGTTCTGCCATCCGCCGGATCAACACAAAACATGAGACTTTAATGGGAAGGAACTTTTATACAACTAGGAAACAATACAGGAAAGGCAAAGAGTCTAGTTTCTAAATGAAGCACCCAAAGTTACCCGTCCCCTCGTGGGTAAAACTCCATCCAAATGGGATCGGCCCAGAGCCAGGCCCCAAAGCCTGCCCCAAGTCTCAAGCATCTTCCAGAGGGGACCCACAGAAAAGGGTCAGAAACAACCAGACAAGCCCGGAAGGAAAAGAGCAAAATCAAAATCAAGATAAAAGCTGCCATTGTCACCTCCCCACGGGTCTCACCCACATCTGTGTCACCCCGTCCACGACCAAAAGACAAGTGCAGTTTCTTCACGTGTCTCTCGGCTCCATGTGCCTCCCCCAGGTCTCCTTCTGGCTCCATCCTGCTTTCTTCCTCAGTCTCCTCTGCAGCTTCTTCTCTTCCTGCTCAGCTCCACCCTCCCTTGGGTAGGGCAGGGAACCTGGAACCTCCCCCTTTCCTGGGGACCCCCCTGTTACAGGGTGAGGGAGAACACAAGCCAGTTTTCTGGATGTGAAGTCCCGAGGGCCCCGGAGCTGACCAGACCCAGGTGGGCGACCCGCCTGCCTGTCTTATCTCGACCCCTCCTTAGCCACCGCCACATATTATCGGCCCAATTGGGAGTGAGGGTGTGTTTTGGGGTGATGTGTAGAGGGTACCCAGAAGACTCCCGGCCCGCACTGCTCTAAGTCCCTCTGCTTTTGCATAAGACATGTTGAGTTTTTCATCATTGGCTTCTTTATTCGCACACACAGCAGGCACTCGGTATCTGTTGGCTAAATGGCTGAGTGAATGAATCAGAAAGGGAAGGGCTGCAAATGGGCCACGTAGCATGCTGTTAAATTAAAGTTGGGGGCCTCCCTGGTGGCACAGGGGTTAAAGACACAGCACTGTTAACCCACATGGCGCAGCAGACCTCTCCTGTCTCCCCCCTCTCCCTTCAGCAGTGTATATCTCTAGATCCGCCTGTTCTCCTCCCCACCCTGTCTCTAGTGAATCCTCTCACCTCTCCCACCTCTGGCCTACACCCCAGTTCTTGCATGCATAAATAAATAAATCTTTAAAAAATTAAGTTTTGGGCCTCCCCGGTGGCGCAGTGGTAGAGCGCTGGGTTGCAAAGCTGCCCGCGACCTCTGCGGTGCAGGTTCAGTCCCCGGCTGCTCCCCGGCCACCGGAGGAGGGTCCCACATGGCGCGCAGACCTCTCCTGCCGCCCGCTGCTCCCCTCAGCAGTGTATTTCGGTCCTTCTGCCTGCTCTGCTCCCCGCTCTGGCTCTGATGAATTCTCTCACCCTCCCGTGCTTCTGACTGTACCCAGTGCATGTATAAACAAAACAAACAAACAAACAAATAAATAAAAACATGCCTCTATAAAAAAAAAAAAAAAAAAAAATTAAGTTTTGGGGGGAATAGAAGGGAACAGAGAGCTTTCAAGGCACAGATTTTAAAGACAAATAAGGCCAAAACCAGCTCCCTCCTGGATCTCTTATTAGGGCAAACCCCTTACCCTGAGCTTCAATTTCCTCAGCTGTGAAATTAAGATAATCATCTATGATGAAGAATAAATGTGAGGACTGGAGACTTGTGTGACGAGACTGGAAATAGCAAGTTGAATAGAATGCTTGTGACCTTGCAGGCTCAGCCTCACCAAAACCCAAGGCCCCGCAGCCCAAACACCTTCTTGCAAAGCTCCCCAGGATGGACGCTGCAGCACAGACTTGAGTTCTTAGTTTATTAGTTTTTCAGCGCAGTTAACTGTCTACATCAACAAGGGTTCTTATGTTTTACATCTTGTCATCTCAAAGTCTCATGACATCAGCCACCAAATACACAAATTTAGGCTCTTCACGTTATACAGAGGAAGATAATAAACTCCATTAAAAGTTCACTTTGACCAAAGAGACAACCTCCAATGGAAAACCACACATGGGAGGACCCAATGTACATACATATATATAATGTATATTTATAGATATCTCATCTGAGAGAACACAGCAAGACAAACAAACAAAAACTCCAAGATTTGAAGCACTATCTACAGTAAGGGATTCTACCAGCTGCTGAGTCACATTCAATATTCAAAGGAAGCACATGAGTGAATAGAACTGGGGACAGACACCTCCACCCGGCTCTAGCAGTCTAGTAATGGCTTCAAATAGTGGGGTGATGTGTGCAGAGGAAATGTGGATGCAGGTGTCCTCTCAACCTCAGAACACCCCGCACACACACTGCCCCCCCCTCCACTGTCCTGCAGTTTTCATTGCTCTCCCCTTTCTACCTGTTTTAGGGTGCGAGGCAACTGATTTAGGCTCTGAGACAAATGGCTTCTGGTTTCTGGACCAGGAGATTTTACCCGATGGGTGATGGGGGGCAGGAAGTATATGGCAAGTACTGGGCTGCAGGATGGAGGAGGGGCTGGGTGTGGGGGGAGCCTCTCTCTACTCTGCCCAGCCCCTGACCACTTCAGGAACTTTCACCTCCCATTCGAAGCAAGGCCCAGAGTCCCCCCAGCAGGCTGATATGGCTATGTGGGCCTGAGGAAGTCTTGCTAACTTGAGTCAAAAAACTCCTTGTGAGACCTCCATGAAATGTGGCACAGCTTGACCAGAACTCTCCCTAGAAACACATTTCCAGTGACCTTGGCCACGCTGCAGCTGATTGGGTTCCACGGAACTGGGGCCAACAAGGGTCTATAGGAAGCTCACTCACCTGCCTGCTGGTTCACCATGAAGTTCTCAGGGGGTGTGTGCTCAAGGGGTATCTCAGCCTTTAACCTCAGCCGCTCTTCTCCCCCACCCCCACCATCTGGAGATGGAGGACCAGGCCATTTTCTGCCTCAGAATCTCGGCTTCCAAAATGAGACAGGACCAGGAGGTGATGGAGTGTGTGGGCATTCTGTGGGGTTCCTGTCCTAATCCGTAGGCAGAGAAGCCCTTCCAGCCTCTGCCAGCCTGACCCTGCAGGACCAGCCCAGCCCAGAGAGCACCAGGAAAACCACAACCTGGTAGGAGCGCCCCCTTGTGGCTGCTGTGCAGAAAGCTGCCGCGTAGAGGACAGACTGATGTACTGGTGCACAGTGAGCTGACCCTGTGCACCTGCTATCCCAGCACCCCCACCTCCGAACCCCCTCCCATCTCTAAACCATCCTGCCGGCCATCCATGCTTGCACCAACCTCAGGTACTATCCTGCACCCTGACTAGAGGATTCAGACTTTCCTTTGCTAGCCAGTCCTCCTCATTCCTGGACCCCACCCTGACTGTGCCGAGGGGTGGGGAGTTGGAAGACAGGGTCTATGTCCATTTAACAACATGGGTGAAATGGGGGTGGCGAGGAGTGAGCCCCTCAAACTATCTGAAGACGGTTCTGCCACATCGAAGATAGACCCCCTCATATTCTAAAACAAACGAGAAGTAACCCCATTTTCTCCCCTTCACCCTCACAAAAATAAACTAAAGGGAAATGAGCCGGCTGAGGATGGCAGTGGGACGTCGATGCGGGCGGGGGTAGGTGGGTGTCTTGGAGGGGACCAAGGGCTTCAGCAGGACACCTCCATGGTGTGGTTGACCTGGCCCAGCCCCTCGCTGCTCTCCGAGTGGGTGCAGGCCTGCGGGCGGCTGCCGTCCACCGAGCCGGCGCTGGTGAGGGACGCGGTGCGGGAGCGGGCGAGCCGGGTCATGCTGGCCGAGGGCACTGTGGACAGAGACCGCATGGGCATGAGGGGTGGCCGGCTGGGCGAGGCGACTGCGGGCAGGACAAGATTTATGCAAGCAAAGCGGCCAGCAAGACCCCTTCTTCCACCGGCACAGAGGCCCACCCCAAGCCAGGGCCCTGGAGTCTGCTGTCAAGCCTGAGGCATGCAGCGCCAGCAACGTGAGCAAAGGTGGGGGGCCAGGTCTCCCCAGAGGCCAGCAGAACCCTTCTCTCAATAGCCGACCAGAGCTGTGGCCAGAACTGGGTGAGCGGGTCCCCGAGCTGGGGCAGGCATGGTGCTCAAGGATGGTGGGCAGAGGGAGGACGACCTCTGTGAAGAAGGACAAGGCATGGTGGTCAAACTGCCCTCAATGCAGCTTCCGCCCTCATTCAGGGGTTCGCAAGCAAGACTTGCAGGGGGCAACCTCCACTGTCCTGAACGCATCGAGCTCAGGCATGGCCGGGCCCGGTGCTACCTCTGAGAGGTTCTGGCAGCCACGGCCCATGGCAACCTTAGAAGCGCAACTGCTCGACAACCCAGTCAGCCCAGAGTCCTCAATGGGGTGCAGCCCACTTGGCCCAGGAGCTCCGGGAGAGCAGGGCTCTGCAGGGGAGCAGGACACAAGGCTCCGAGCCACCGCAAGACGCAGCCCGGCTGCAGCGCTCACTGCACAGAGGGCCACGGAGCAGGCGAGGCCGGGGGCATGCATGGGGCGGGGCCGGGCTACCTGCTCCTCCACTCAGCCTTCGGTCCTTCAAGTGTGCGACTAAGAGAGAAGACAGAGCCAGAGAGGGGCGGGGTGGGGGAGACACAGAACAGGGTGAAGAGGAAAGTCCTGAGGCAGGGGTGGAGGCAGGCCAGAGATGACAGGAAAGGACTAGATGGCCGGGCGGGGCCTGAGCTTTGAGCCCCACTCCAGCCACCCACCATGGCAGGCCGGGGCCCTCGTTTTGCCCACCTTCTCCAGCCTGGGCAGCAGCAGGGAGGGCCCGTATCATTAGCCCCAGGGCCCTCGCCTTCCTGCTGGGCCTCAGTCTACCCCCCCCTTGCATAGAATGGGAGAGGTAACACCCCCGAACCCCTCCCCCTTGGCACTTCTTAAGGGCCCTGAGAATACCTCCCAGCCCCAAGTGCAGATGCCCCGAGCACCTGTGCCCAAGCCCCGCCTCAGAGGCCTGAGGCCCATGTCTGGTGTTCGCTCGGCCCCTCTGCCTGAAGTCTCCACAGGAAGCTAGAGGGAGTTCTACTCCGGGATGTTCCCCTGCCCTCCCCCGGCCAGACCCCCATTTCCTGGGGAGGGAGAATTTATTGAGAGGAAGTTTGATTTTGGCAGGAGAGCCGGGTACGGGTGCCAGGGGGGTGCTGCGAGGGGAGTGTGTGTGCCCAATGGGCTCAGGGGCAGTCTGGGTGGCTCATCCTGGCACAAGCAGGAGTCTGGAGTGAGAGGGGCAAACAGGGGGCCAGTTCCAGCCCACAGCCCCTGTCACCTGAGGGTCTTCAGGATGCCACCCCAGCTTCCCTGGCTTCAGTCCTCCTAACACCTGATGGCCCCCTCAACCAAGACCACTCCTGGGGCTCCCTGGGACTCTGCACCTCCATGGCCAGAGTCCTCCTCAGGTGCGTAGGACTAACGGGGTGTGTGGTATGTCTGACAGGCCTTCCCCAGCACCACACAGGCCAGGCTTGGTCCCCCCAGACTGAGAGGAGAGCCCCCCAATCCAACAGCCCAGCACTGCACGAGAACATGGTTCCAAGACCTCCCCAAGGCACAGGAGTGCAGGGCACAGCCTGAACGACCGACTTTGTGGGTGTCCAGAGATGGGGGCACATGGCCCAGCACCCCGCCCAGTAACACAGAGCTCCCACACCCACAGGGGGCACAGGTACACCTTCTGCCTGGTCTCTGGTGGGGCGGGGCAGGGAGGTACACTTACTGTAGCCCATGCCTTGCAGGAAGTATTTGAAGGCCTCAGTCAGCTTTCCGGGCTGCAGGAGAGGGATTTAATTAGTGCTTTAGCTAACTGCCGGGGTGGAAGGTGGGGCAGAGGCTCCCCCACCCCAGGCTAGTGAGGAAAGGAAGGCCAAGTGTCTCACCTGTGTGACCTGGGGGAGCCCTCCGGAATCTGCCATCTGTAGGGAAGAGAGGGAGAGCTGAGCAGGGCCCCTCAAGTACCGGACAGGCTTGGTGACCGGATGCAGCATCCCATGCCCACCCCAGCCAGCACCCCAGGAAGCCCCTCTCTGGGGTGGGCCCATGGTGGGGAGCTGGCCCTGGGCTGAAGGGAGCTCACCTTCAGGAAGGTGGTGGTGGTTGGGTCCAACTTGGAGTTGCAGTCAACCTGGACACAGGAGCGAGACTCAGCAGAGCCAGGGACAGAGCTGGGGCTTCAGGGCAGGTTCTATACTCAGAACTGCTGGGAAGGGGTGCAGAGGGCAGGCCCAGGCCCAGCAACTAGGCCCTGACTGAGGCTATCCCTCCCCAGGCAGCTTTCTAAAAGGCCAAGCCCCCTGGAGATCAGGAAGCAGCCCCCCAAGACTCAGATTCATTCCCATCTGCGGAAGAAACTCGGCAATATCCTCACAGAAGACCGGGCCACCAGGGCGGGAGTGGCCTGGGGCCGAGGGTGTCGATAGTGAGGGGTGGGAGTAAGGGGCCTTGGCCTGGATCAGGATGGCTGCTGCGGCTCCCAGCTCTGCTCCCCCAAACCCTCAGGCCAGGGTGGCAAGCAGTAGCTTCTGTATAGTTGGGCACTGTGGGGTACTCTTGGACCCAAACCCCCAGGGTCCCCAGAAGAGGTGACACACGGTCTCCAAAGGTAAAAGGTGCCAGGGGTGATCAAGAGGGGCCGCTGCTGTGCTGGTGAATTACTCACTGCGTGACGACAAATAACTCTTATTTTAGAGAAACGTGTCTCTGCATCTGAAGTGGGTAGAGATGAAGGTAGGGACCCTGATGGGAGGGCCCCAGTTTCTTCCCGCCTCCAGACCTCATCACCTCAAGGAGGGGGGCTTATGCCATACCCTGATGCCAGGTCAGATGATGGATAAGCAAGCAGCCCACCGGACCAGTGCCTGTCCCCGAGGCTTCCCTGGGCTGGGTCAGGAATTGGCCCTGGGGGCCAGGGACTCCCTAACTCCTGCACCCCACCCCCTATCAGGGCCCATCCCTCACTCACCACCCCGTCCTCAGCAGGCGCATTGTCCCCAACCACCAGCATCACGGGGCAGCTGCAGACAGAAGAAAAGGGCTGACTGGCCTGGCGTGGGGGCAAAGGTGGGGCAGGCGGCAGGCTGAGCGGGCACTCACCGGAGCGTCTTGGCATTGGGCACCGTTCCGGGTCGGTTGATGTCCAGGTCTCTGCGGCTGCAGGGAGAGGGGAAGGTGGCATCCCAGGACGGCGGGAATGAGGGGCGTCCCCAAGCCTGACTGCTGCTTCAGCCACACCCCAGCTCCCTGTGTGGCAATTATGACCCAGGACACTTGGAGGCCCCTGCTGGTCCCAGATTGGGGCCACCGCGGCTAGTCAACTCACAGTGAACAGGATCCAGCCGGGAAAACAGGGAGACAGGTCTGCTCTGCACAAAAGGGCCTTCAGGGCTCTCCTCAGCCTTGACTTCTCTGGACCCACAACTCATGCCAGGGGACCCTCAAAACTGACTCTGCCCCTGCAAGCACTGGGGAGCTGTACAGCACCTCCAGAGCTGTGAGATTCCTGGCCGCAGGGGAGGCAGGGCCTGGGCCTCAGCCCTCCCTTGTTTCCCCAGTACCGCACACACAGCAGGTACCTAATAGATATTTGTAGGAGAAAAGAAAGGAGGGCGAGCAGATGGGGCAGGGCCTGACTATTCCCCCGCAGGTCAACCCCAAAACCCCAAAGAGCAGAGTTGGAAACCCTCACACTTCCTCCCACCATCCCCCCTACAGATGTCAGCACACAGGGGTACAGGGAAAAGACATGTGGTCCACATCCATCACTGCACCCAGTGACATGCCCCAGGAAGGCCTGGAGGAGCCCCCAAAGCAGAGCCCAAAGCCCTCCCGGTCCTCAGCCCCTCTGGGGGTGTGACCCTGGGCAAGAAGCGCTGTCTCTGGCAGGCTCTGTAATCAGCTCCTCAGCAAAGCGCAGTGAGTGTGTCCATTCCCCATAGGCGGCTGTAGGGGTGGGGGTTCCCCAACAGAGGGTGCTCCCCGCCACTCGGTGCCACAGACCCCCGCCCACACCTGTTGTACATGTTCCAGAAGAGCTGCAGGTTGGCCTGGTTCACCACGTTCGCGATCTGCTGCCGGTAGCTCTGCACCAACTCTGTGTTATTCACCAGCTCTTCCTGGGCATAGAGGGGTGCACGGGGTGTGCGAGGGGGACGCACAGAGGACGCGTGGGTTCAGAGGGGTGTGCGCGTCACCTTCACCTCCAGAGCAGCCCTCGCCCCACTCCCAGCACGGGGGTGGGGAGGATGGGGGACAGTGGGGGGGGTGAACAAGGGGGCGCAGTATCGTGGGGGCCGGGCCTCAGGAGCCCAGAGAGGCTCCAGACCCAACCTTGTGCTGCCTCATGACCAACCCCAGAATAGGGGGTGTGATAGATCGGATGGCACATAACCCCGCACATCCCCACACCCGCCTGGCTGAGGGGGCGCAGAAGCAGGGCGCCCCTGAGAGTGGGAAGACTCGGGGCCTGGGGCTCCGCGAGAGCCAGGCCAGCCCCACTCCCACTCCCGGGGTGAGCGGACCCCCTCACCTGGCTGAAGAGGTGGGAGAGCACCGTGTCGGGTAACGTGCTGGTCAGGCCGGAAAGCTGTGGGCCGGGCAGAGGGCAGGTGTGAGGGCCACCCTAACCCCCAGCCCCACACCCCCAAGGGGTGCACGCTCACCTTGGTGGCGGCCCAGTCGATCCAGCCTTTGCCGTTGGGGTCGATGTTCATCAGCACCAGTCCTTCCACCAGGTCGGGGAAGATGAGCTGCCCGGAGAGAAGAACACAGGGCAGGGGGTGATGGGGAGCCCCAGTCCTCGCGCCTAGAAAATGCTGTAGAATCCTGGCTTTGCTGATGTGTGGGAGGATGGGCAGGAGCAGAGAGCCCACACCCGCAACTGGCCTCAGGTGGGTCCTGCCCCATGGTCGCGCCTGCTCCACCTGCAGCCCCTCAGCGCTTCAAGTTGACTCTAGGCCTATGCCAATGAGTCTCACTCCTTTTAACGTAACTTTGAAGATGCAGCTGTTGTAAAACAGGATGAAACATTTTGTTTCTTTGCTTTTGTAGAAAGTGAAGTCCAGGAGATGCTAAGAAACTGCTTTAGGGGAAACAGTAATATGCATGCCCAGTGCCAGCCTCCATCTGGGGTGGCATGAAAGGGCTGCGGTTCCAAAAGGATTAAGTGCTGAGGACCAACCGGAGCCGAAAAATCCACTTAAAATTCAGTTTTTCTTTCTAGAGATGAAAAGCTTGTGGGGTCCTACCCGGCAGGATGTTTTTGAAATGTGACTTCTTTAACCCTCACACACTTAATAGATTCGTGTTTAAATAGGGCCCTAGTTAGTGATGCGTGAGCAGGATGACCCTTATCATGTGGTTAGAACAATTAGTTGTATAGTTTGATGCTCACAGGGATCTTGGCTTTGGATAATAGTTAAGTTTATAGTCTCTTGAGGAAATATGAGAAAAGTAACCCTTTTAAAGTTTTCTTGAAGGAAAAAAGTTAAAAAGTGAGGAGATGGACGAGGAGGAAGGCAGGAAGACAGGGAAGGTTCTTGCGTTGAAGGGAGCAGCCCAGCAGAGACCAGCCCTGGGGGGGTCAGGAGGATGGGTGGGGGACACTCACTGCAAACTTGGCCAGCACGTAAGCTCCGGCTCCCACTCCGATGCCAATCACGTACTTGAACCTGGCGGAGAGCACGTTGGTCACTCGAGGGCCCGGAGTGTCGGTTCCACAAGTGCCATCGGGAGCAGCCCACGCCCCAGCCCGCAGTCCTCAGCTGGAGCCTGGGGTGCGTTTGTGCCCCAGGGACCCCCAGCACAGGCGCAGGGCTGGACTCACCCAAAGTGCTGTACCACGCTGGGAAGCATGGCCGCGAGCTGCTCCATGGAGGGGAACTGGTACCTGCCGGCAGAGCTCAAGGTCAGGCCCAGGTGCGGCCTGGGACATATGCTGGGGAGGTGGTGAGGAGGGGGATCCCGGCTACCTACCCCTGAGGGAACTGAGACGCCCCCACCTGCTGACCAGGGGCATCCACATGGCACACCACAAAGTGCTTGGTGATCTCCTGCATGTCCTCGAAATTGAAGAAGGTGTTGAAGCACAGCTTGTCTGCAAGACACACGCCCCAGTGCTGAGCAGAGGGGGAGCCCATGGCCCAGAGGGGAAGTGAGGCCCGAATGGCTAAGGGCACAGAGCCGGGGCAGGTGAGGATCCACGGGGGCCTGTGAGGAGGGAGGGAGTCCCACTGCTCCGGCAGATTCGAGACATGGTGGGGGGGTGGAGGGAGGCTGGATAAGGCTGGGGTGTACTTACGGTTGAGGCCCACATCATGGTAGGTGAGGATGGCTGGGCGGTTCCCCTTGGGGGAACCCCGGATCACCACGTGCAGAAGGCCATAAGGCGTTTCGATGTCATGTTCCTGGAGGGGAGACATGGCGCTGGACTCTGAGCAGCCCCCACTCCTGGCTCACCTGGGGAACAAGGCTGGGGAACAGCTGGGGGGCAGGTGTTGGACCTGGGGTGGGGCATCCACCCTACAGTGGTGGGGTTTCTCATTCTCATCAGCTCAAGCAGCTCCCAGAGAGGACAGGCCAGATGGAGCACCCCTTTCCCATGGGATTCAGTTCAGGGACAACGTGAACTGGCTGTGCAGGAAAGTGCTGGTCCCCTCTGCAAAGAGGGGTGGGGGTGTGAGCCCAACCGGGCCTTGCTGTGCTTAGTCCTCCAGGGTACAGAGACCCATGTTTTCCCTCCCCACAGCCCCTCCAGGACAGCTCTGCCCCCCAGCCTGAGCCCCACCCTCACCATATTCCTCCCCCACCCAGAACCTTTCAAGGGCTTGGCTTCTGAAGGGGAAGGGCCTGAAAAGCTCTGCCCAGAATCCTGGGTAAACTGGGAGGTAAAACTACCATGCCAGCAAGCCAGCCCCCAACTCCCACCCCAGCCTGGCCCCCACCTCCAGGCTCTCCCTCCTGCTGTTCCTTCCACCTGGAGACCCCCTTCCGTGATGCCCAAGGCCTCCCTTCAGCAGGGCCGGGCTAGACCGCCCCCTCCCCCACCCCAGGCCTCCTGCAGTGGCCGCCAGGATCATCCTGTGTTCATGCCCTTGGCTGAGCTCCTACGGGAACAGGAGCTGGAGGCTGCAGGTTCAAGACCCGCTCTGGCCCTTACTGTGTGACTCTCAGCAGGGCAGTCACTTCTCCGTGCCTCGGCCACCTCTGCCAGAGCCATCTCAGAGCAACTCTGTGAGAAGTAAAGAAGCGGATGTCTCTGGAGCGTTCAGCACCTGGAGGGGGCCCCAGAAAGGGGGCTGTGGTGCTGGCCTCTCCCTGAGCCCTGGGGAGGTGCCCCCCTAGCTGGTCCCTCTGCAGACCGGTTGCTCTTGGCTACCCAGTGGGAAAATTCCAAGAGCAGCTGAGACCACAGGCTGGCCCTGTACTGCAAGGCACCCTGGAAACCACAGGGGGTGGCCCAGTGATCTGCAGGGTCATGGGTAAGGGGTGACAGGAACATGACTGAGCACCTACTGTGGCTTCTACATTATACAAGAAGACCCCATTCCCCCCCATTTTGCAGATGGAGATCACAGAGGTTCACAGCAAAGCTAACTTCCTACCTCCAAGGGGAACGGGGAGCCTTGGGGTAGGAGACATTATTGGGGACTGGCCTCAGGCCTGGGTTCAAAGGACCACTGTCTGGTCTGTGTCTCCGGAAGGGAATGACAAAGTGGAGTCAACCTCAGGGTCAAAGGCCACACCCTGGGAACTACATTCCTTCCATGAGGCCCTGTTCAATCAATCCTGATGTCCTCCAGGTCCATCATAGCCTCCCGGCATCCCAGGCCTGGCCTCCCTCAGGGCCATCAGAGCAAGGAGCACTGCCTGCTCACTGGCCACTGGCCGCACGCTTTTCTTGTAGCTTCTCGTCGGCTCTTCACAGGGACCCAAGCCACAGGAAACTGAGGCTGGGAAAGAAATGACTTGCTCAAGGTCAAGTGCAAAGTAGGCAAGGTGGGCTGTGCCAGGGGATATACCCCAGGCTGCATTTTCTGAGGAGGAGCTCATGTTCCACCCAAGAGACTTCTGAGCAGGCAGGCAGCCTCTCCATGGTGGCCTGTCCCTATGGGGAGCTGGGGGGCCCTGCTGTATCCCCACCCTCTGTGCTCTCCTGGCCTTGGGAAGGTGAGGGCTGGGGCAAGAGCTGCAATGCGCTTCCTGCGGCAGATGGAAGAGATGACCCGAGAGGGGTCTGCTCCAGCCCTGCCGGGTCCTCCACACCCAGACTTCCACTGCCCATGGGTGTGTGTAGGGGGAGCTCCCCCCTCCCAGGCCTGGTGGGGCCACCCTGGTTCTCTGAGACAGTGGGACTCAGCCAAGGGCCCGCCTCACTGAGGCTCAGGTCCCCAGAGGCTGGAAGGGCAAGGCCCTGGGCAGGACATAGGTTCAGTCGGTTACCCAGTGACCTTGGCCCAACCCTCCTGCCCACCTCCCTGCGCCTCCTCTGACCCAGGAGCTCAGGCCCAGCTCAGCCTGATAGAGGCTAAACACCCTGTCCTTTGGGGTGCTGCACAGGGTGAGGGGCGTCCCAAGTACTCGAATCCCCCAGCCCCCAACACTCCCATTGGCTCCTGGTGACATCAGAGCCCAGCCTCCCATCTCCCGGAGGGCTTCGGAGCAGCGGGCGGGCTGCACTGCGACAGCAAGGGAGGGGGCCTATGGGTCTCACCTCGCCCGTGACCTTGAGGATTGGGGGGCCTCCAAGTTGGGCTTCAGTGCGCAGCGGGAGGTGGGGGGGCTAGTACAGATTCCCGTCAGCCGCATCAATAATTCAGGGGACGTGAGCTGCACCAGCGGTAGGCGCTGACGTCGCTGCCTGGGCTGTATTGGACCGGGCAGGAGGGTGGGGATGGGGGACAGGCAGGTCTCCCCTAGCCTCTCCCTCCATGAGGAAGAGCAGCACAGACCCTGGGCACCTGCTGCCACGGGCAAAGGAGGCGTCCTGGTCCCCCAGGGCTCACGTCTCCAGCGTTATCTTTCTCCACCCACAAAAGAAGGCACGACTCTCTCCTCACGCCCTCCCCCATGGAGCCCCAGTCTGAAGGCCGAGTTAGCACCATTACCCAGCACCATTACCACCCAGTCCCTGCCAGGCCGGTGCTGCAGTGCCCTGGGGACCAAGGAGGAGTTGCAAGCAACTCCCGAAGAAGGAAGAGGCCATTGGTCGTGTTGGCACTGCAGTGCGGCCAGCGAACAGCCAGGAAGCCCCCCCAGACTCAGGAGGGCAGACGCCCCCTCTGCATGCACAGACACCCAGACACAAGCAGGGCACCCAACCTCCCCCCTGCCTCCACCTGGCTGTCCCAGGGATGAGGCAGATGCCAGCCGGACATGTGTGGGGCGAGGGCCTCCAACAGTGGGGTGCTCAGGCGGGCACCCTGGTCCACCCTGGCTTACAGACACCCAGCCCTCCCCGCCCACCCCAGCCCCATCAGCAGCTACCGCCGCTACAGGCCGGAGGCCAGGGAGCCAGGAGCCTGCGGGCCCCATGGTGAGCCATCGAGGCAGATCGGCCACCGGAGGTGGGCAAAGGATGCCCCCTGCTCCCTGCCCGCCTGGCAGCTCCGAGCGCGCTCACTCACCCCATCCCAGCACTCCGGCATCTTGCCGAGAGAGGCCACCTGCCTCGACCACGAAGGGCAAACAAAGGCCTGAGTCACCGGGGCTCAGGGGGAGGGGGCAGCGTCAGTGGGAGACCCGAGGCTCTGCGCTGGGGCACCGCTCCCGGGCCATTTATACGCCGAGCCTGGCCCGGCCTTGGCCGCCCCTCCCCGCCGCGGGGTTTCTGAGCTGCCACTCGCTCACCCGGAGCCCCGGCCGCCAGATTGGCTGTCGGGAGGCAAATGTGGCTGCAATTGGCTCCCGAGGCCTTCCCTCAGCCCAGCCTCTGCTCTTGCTCCTCCCACTCCCTGCCAGACACATCCCTCCCTGCTGGCCCCCAGCCCCTGCATCTTCCGCCCCCCAGCACACAGGCACACACCCACAGCTGCAGCTGCACAGGGTCCTGGAAGGCAGGCCAGGAGGCCGAACTACAGGTGCACCCTGGGCCAGGTACACAGACACCTCCTGCCGGTGTAGGGCAGGATGGGCACACCCGCGTGCCCAGGGGACCCTACCTGAGAGGGCCCCAGCCCCAGTCACCAGATCTGAAAGCCTGGATCACTTAAGCTTGAGGGCAAGCGGGGAGCCACTGCTGTCTGGGTCAACCTGGGTGGTGACTCTGTCCCAGTGTTTGGATCCTTTCCTGCTGGCCAGGGTGTCCCCTAGGGCTCACGTTGCGGAAATGGGGATTCGAGGCTGGGGGCCTGGACAGAGTGCTGCCCTGCTCTCCCCACCCCCGTGCTGGAGGCTACCAGAGGGAGGAGGGGCAGGAGGCAGCCTGGCAAAGTGGGCATGCCACTCCTGCAGACCCACCCAGCTCCAGTGGGGCCTGGTCCCAGGGCCCTGGGGAGCAGGAGGCAGGGAACTCCTCAGGCTCCAGGTTCTGTCCTCCTGAGCAGCAAGGATTATTTGGGTGGGGATCTGGCTAGAGACTCCCAGATAAACAGAAAAGGGGAGGGAGAGCGCAGAGGAGAGGAAATAGGCCAGGGAGGTGAGTGGAGGAGGGAGCCCAAGGGCTGGGAGAAGCAGGAGCAACAGAGAAGGGAGGGGTGCTAGGCGCCTGTGCCCCCGTTCTGCCTCTTTGGTGAAGGAACGTGCCACTCACCCCAACCCAAACTGACAACCCTGCACCCTGGCTGGCTGCCTTGGGGAAGGCGGTCACCTCCCAGCATGCCCAGTGACCCGGTCAACACCTGCCATGCACCCTATTCTTGGCACATCCTCTGCCCATGGACACCAACTTCCCCTCCATCTCTGACCTTCTGTGCTGGGGGGCCCAGAGTTAGGGGGCTGGACCCTGTCTCTCCCAAGGCAGCCAAGCTGTGGACCTGGGGGGTCCCCCTGGCCCCTCATGTTCTGGCCATGCTCAGCAGCCACTTCAGCACAGAAAGACGCTTGAGTAACTGAGGCAGCCAGCCCCTCACTGCCCACAAATCCACCCTTGTCCTTCTTGAAGTGGGGTGGGCTTTCTGTCACCAAACCCATCCAACCCATGCCCACCCCAAACTCTGACTTCTGAGTGGCTCTCCCACGTGGGAAGCTGACACTGCCCACGCCAAGCCACAGGCCCTGCTTCTCAGTTCACGGGCTTCAAATCCACAGAAATGAGTTGAAGTCCCGGCTTCCTCACCCACCAGCTGGGTGACTTTGGCCAAGGTGTTTTAACATCTGTGTGCATCAGGCTCAAGTGTAACGCAGGAACGTGCCTGCCTCACAGAGGCCCCATCGGGGTGAAGGAAAAGCTGCATAAATCACACTAGACCTGACCCCACCCCTGCCCAGGCTGGCAGATGCCTGGTAGAAGAGAAATGGTGGGTCCATGTTTCTCCTAACTGCTGGCCCCTCCTCCAGAGGCCACTACTGTGGCCCAACAGCAGCCTCGTGTCCTGTTCTCCAAGCCCAGCACCGGCCACAGCTCTGCCACTTTTCTGCTGGGTGACCTTGAGCAAGTCAGCCGACCTCTCTGAGCTCCTGCATTGTAAGCGGGAGAACCGCCGTGCCCACTGCAAGCATACCCCATAACCACCACACGAGAAAGGATGAAGAAACCAAGAAAGGATGAGGAAACAAAAACACAGTTCATTTCCCACTTGGCTATCCAGGCAGGAGGGGAGCTGACCTGCCTCTTCGGGCTCTGGGCCTGAGGTCACATTATTCACGGAAGTAGATGTTTAGTAGCACGTCTACAACATGCCAGGCTCTAGTCAAACGTTCCACGTGTTACCTCATTTTAACCTCTTAAAACCCACTTTACAGGTGAAAAAAAATGAAGCACAGAGAGGTTTGGTAACCTGCTCGACATCACACAGCCAGTGGCACAGATATAGGAACCAGGGTGGGAAGGGACACTACTCAAGACCCTGGCGTTGGTGGCCACTACTCTCTGTCAGCGGGACCCTGAGCACCCAACCTTGGGCACCATCCTCCACCCTATAAGCCCCCAGGGAGGTCTGAGCTGCCTGTCTAGCCATTCAAATGAGGGCCTGATGTTCTGGAGGTCCGGTGTCCCATACGTAAAGGCAAGACCTGGACACAGGTGTGACTCTTTTGTCCTCTGGCCTCTCCCCTGGCTGGGCCCACTGAGGCCAGCCACCTGCCACCTTGAAATGGACTAAAATCCCTGCCAGGCCTTGGCTCAGATAAGGACCATCCTTGAAACCACTTTTTCTTAAAAAAAAAAAAAAAAAAAAAAAAAAAAGGGTAGCCCCCTTTTGGTGCGATGACTATAAGGAAGGCCCCCTTTACCAAGGCCTGGATTTTGAGGACCAGGGTCCCACACACCTGGGGCAGGAGCCCCCCAGGCTGGGCATAGCACCCAGGTATGAAGGACCCAGGATTCCCACTCTCCTATAGCACCCCCGCTGCGTGTGTGTGTTTGGGGGCTAGAAGTCAGCACCCTAGGCCTTGGCTGGTCCCACTGGGTATCAGGCGGGGGTCGGCTGCTCTGAATTTGTCCGCAGCCCAGCCTGGAGAGGCGGGGACGTTTGTCCACACATACTCAACCTCATTCAGAGCAGGGAGGACAAAGAGAACCCCTTGAGTGCCTGTCCTGACCTCCACTGGGGCCATCTGGAGGCCACATCCCTCCCCCTCAGCTCTCTCCACCCCCCTCCAGCCACCCCCCAGCAGCCCAGTCCCTGTATTTGGGCTGACACTCCCTGGGGACCAGAGCAGGCACAAGGGCCACCTTGCTGCCTCTGCTGACTTTTGTCCTTGAGGGGCCTGGCAACCCAGGGCCAGACACCGAGCCCCATCGGATCCCTGCCGCTCGCGCCTGGGGGAGGAGCCCGCCAGCCGCCCCACTTCCACGTCACCCCTTGCGTCCAGACCACGAGGCTGGGGCTGTCACGGGGCTCAGAGACTGACCCAAATTGAAGTCAGGCCCAGGCAGGAGGAGTGGCCGGGGCTCGGCCTGCTGAGTCGGATGCTCTGATGGCCAGAGGGCCCCAGAACCCAGTGAAAACTCAAACGATTTCAGAGACCTGGAAATAAACTGTCGGGCTCAGAGGGGACAAGTGGTGGCCAGTGAGCAAAACCATCATGCGGAGGCACAAAAACAAAGAACGATCTCAGTTTTCACAGGGAACCTGGCATGGAGCTAAAGAGACACGGTTGTCCCGGCAACAGCTGCCATGGAAACAGGAGCTATTTCAGAGCATCAACCTGGCTTTCATTGGAGGAAAATGCTGATTCAGATGCAGCACCCCCTCACTCCCCTCTCCACCCTCACTCCCCATCTTGTTTAGGTGGAGGGGGGTTCTCTCCACCTGGCAGGGGGCAGGAAGAACTGTTGTCAGCAAACTGGGTGGTCCTGGAGGCTTCTGGTGCCCAGCCCCTGACCTGAGGATGGCGGCACACGAAGGGCTGAGACCCTCCTCTGGGACAGGTTGGGTGGGGCGAGGGGCCGCTCGGCTGTTGGTCCCCCATCTCCAGAGGCTGAGCAGAGACCTACCTTCCAGTCTGTGTCCTCAGTCAAGAGGAAGGTGTCGGAGTTGTCCTAAGGGACACAAACAGAAGGAGTGGAACATTAGGCCCCAGCTGCGGGATGGGGTGGCATGAGACAGGCCATAGAGGCTCCCCCCTGAGCAGACTCCCTCTGTTCCCCAAGTCTATCTTTATGTTAACAAAAGCAACCCAGGGCTTCCCAAGCGCCAGCACTGGCTTCTGAGTGCCTGGGGGCTGAGCCTCCAAGCAGCAGCTCACAAGGCTCTTACCTATTAGCCTAAATGGCCAAGATTTCCATTTCACAAGTGAGAAGGGCGAGGCTCAGGGAGGCTGAATCACATGGCTAGAAAGTGGCAGAATCTCTAACTCTGCATCCTTGCTATTGGTCCCCCACTTTGCCTTGCTGCCTCCCTACCCCCCACCCCACTGTGCCTTTTCAAGGTCTGGCCATCAAGGGTAAAGGCCAGAGGTGGGGGAAGGAGGAAAGAAGTGGGCATGACTCTCACCCCCCTCTTTAGGGATGGGGGAGCTGAGGAAGAAAAAGAGGGATTTCTGGTTTTTTTATTTTTGCATAGAACTGGGGTGTAGGCCAGAGGTGCAGGGGGTGAGAGGATCATGAGAGACAGAGTGGGGAGCAGAACAGGCAGACTGACTGAAATACACTGCTGAGGGGAGCAGCGGGCGAGGCAGGAGAGGTCTGCCGCGCCATGTGGGTAGCTCCCTGGCTGGGGATGGAACTCAGCCAGTAGGAGTGATAGTGCTGAGACTTAACCCCTAGGCCACCAGGGAGGCCAGAAGGGGATTTCTGACCTGCACCAAGGAGCCGTCTGGCTGGGCCTGTGGCAGCTGCGCCAGCCTCTCCAGCCCCGCCTGCTCCCTGGTCTCAGGGCAGCGATTTCCCTGCGTTAGGCTCATTTGCACTGGATGGAGAGTCTGGTGCCTTCCCGCTGGCCTGCTGGTGCTGAAGGTGGGCCCACACCTGGCTCTGCTTTCAGCATAAAGCCTGGCATGGGCTCCCCAAACACACAGATGTGGATGAGCAATTCTCACTTTGCAAATGAGGGAACACTGCGGGATATACCCACTATTCACCCAGCTCCAGAGGAATGGGGATTCAGTGTGTCAGAGTTACTAGACTTCATCCCCCCCCCCCCAAACCCACCCTCCACACACACCACCTGGGCCTCTGTCTTAACTTCTTACTGAGTCTAGAATCCTCTCTGGTTCCCCCAGCTCAGCTACATCAGGTCACTGAGCCTCAGTGTTTGTGGGAAGTCAACGAGAAGCACATGTTAGCTGTTCTTCCCTCCTTGAGCTCGGGAGTGGGAAGGCAAAGAATGAAAACCAGTAATTCTGATACTTCATTCTCATAAGAAGGAAAAGTTCAACCCCCGAATTCCGGCAGGTGGGAGTGGTGGAAAAATCAGATGGCACTAGAGGGTCTCACACCCAAAGAGGAAAGGCCCTCTGAGACTGCGATTAAAAATGGCACGGCTGAGCCTGGCCCATGGGTTCATCGGGGCCTGGGGGTCTGCATGGGGGCGGGAAGAGGAACATGGAGGCGTTACCTCCCAGAATCCCTAGGAACCGGGAAGGAAGGGGCCGGGCCTGGGGAAAGGGGACGGGCTGGTTGTTGATGAAATCTGCTCACCTGAAGACCTTGCACAAGGTGGGGAGTGGGAAGGGACATTCCTCAAGACTCTGGTGGGGGGTGTAGTTATCTCAGAGAAGGACATCACTGAGGGTGAGGCAGATCATGGCAGGGAGCTGTGTGCTCTTGGGGCGCTGGGGGAGGCGCAGGAGACCAAAACCAAGAAACAGTAGGAATAACGCAAGCCAATCCAGGGACAAACCCCGCTCCCCTTTTACACACACAGGCCAAGGAGGAACATTCCAGGAAGACAGGTAAGAGCCCGGTCCAGGTGCTGCAGCAGTTCTCCCGGAGCAGAGGACACCCCAGGCTAAGTGTCAGGCGCGGTAAGTCCGGCAGGGGTCATGGGTGGAGACGGCAGGTGGCGGTGGACATAGACCCTCCTCACTCAACGCAGAGGCTTGCACCGAGCAGGTGTGGGAGATTTAAAAAGGGAAAAGAACAGGTTCTTCCACACGCGGCACATGGCAAGGAGGGGATCTGTCTGCCAGGGTAACGGCCTGGGGAGGCGAGCAGAAGAGCTCCAGCAGGCACTGGTTACTGGGGAGAGCCTAGGAACTCCAACACGTGGAGTCCCAGCAGCATGAGGCAGGACTGCACCGCGTGCCTGAAACCTGTAAAGGCCATGCTGGGAGGGCCAAGGAGGCTTTCTTGAGGTTGGGGCAGGGCTGTGAATCGCCTTTGGATACAGCAGAGGAAAATGGGTCTCAGGGATGTGGCTCAGGCTGACGGAAAGAGGAGAGAAGCTGGGCTGGCTTCCCAGGCCTCCACAGAGGACCGAGTTGGGACCTTCAGCAGGGTGAGGACATTCAGGGGCAAACTCTGGCCCAGGGTCCAGGTGGGATGAAATGAGAGATGCCAGATACAGCAGAAAGAAGGCAGAGCCGGGGCCTCCCTGGTGGCACAAGGGATTAAGACACAACCTATGAAGCTATCAGCAGCCACTGCAACACGAGTTCGATCCCCGGCCAGGGAGCAACCCACATGGCATGGCAGACCTCTCCTGACTCACCCGCCGCTCCCCTCAGCAGTGTATTTCAGTAGATCTGCCTGTTCTGCTCCCCACTCTGTCTCTGGTAAATCCTCTCACCCCCCACACCTCTGGCCTGTACCCCAGATCTAGTATACATACATAAATAAAATCTTTTAAAAAAAGAAAGAAAGAAGGCAGAACCAGCAGGATGGGTGAAGGGGCCTGTGCTCAATGAGCGAGGGAGTGGGCAGCGAGGGGCCCTGCCAGGCTGGGTGGAGGAGAGGAGCTCTCTCGAGGTAAGGCATGGAGGAGACACACTCCATACAGCAGGCGGCACCTCGGATGGGCTGCGCCATTGCCCCACACCTCAACTCTTGTGATGAGGTGTATGGGTCCTCAAGGGCCACCACCCAGCCCACGAAACCCTCTCCTCTGAGGGAGACTGCAGTCACTGCAGAGTTCAAGCAGAAAACTGACCTGATGTCTTTGCAGAGAGCAAATGGGGTGAGGGAAGTTTGGGGGATTCCTGCAGGCTCTGGGAAGGTGGCAGGGGCTCGGTACAAGCAGGGTGCTGAACTAGATAAAGGTCTGCTGAGTGAATAACACGTCCCCTGACCATGCCTGGGGGCTGGCCTCACATAATCTTTTAAAAATATATATATATTTATTTTATTTATTTATGCATACAAGAACTGGGGTGCAGGCCAGAGGTGCGGGGGGTGAGAGGATTCACCAGAGACAGAGTGGGGAACAGAACAGGCAGACTGACCGAAGTACACTGGTGAGGGGAAGACACAACCTATGAAGCTATCAGCAGCCACTGCAGCACAAGTTCGATCCCCGGCCAGGGAGCTACCCACATGGCACAGCAGACCTCTCCTGACTCACCCGTTGCTCCCCTCAGCAGTGTATTTCAGTAGATCTGCCTGTTCTGCTGCCCACTCTGTCTCTGGTAAATCCTCTCACCCCCCCCACCTCTGGCCTGTACCCCAGTTCTTGTATGCATAAATAAATAAAATCTTTTAAAAAAAGAAAGAAAGACACGGGCAAGACAGGAGAGGTCTGCTGTGCCATGTGGGTCAGCTCCCTGGGGAGGGGATCAAACTCAGACCGCAGTGGCTGGCGATAGCTTGATAACGCTGAGATTTTAACACCTGCGCCACCAGGGAGGCCCTCAGATAATCTGTCTTATAAAGTAACTCAAGGTTCTGTCTTTAAGACAAGACTGGCCTTCTCAGGGGGAAGCAGGTGCTGGCCCCGTCCCTACACGTGCCTCAGTGGATCTCTAGCTCACCTTCTGACAGGAGGCGGGCAGTGCAGAGACCTACATGCTCAGGCTCGTGACACCTCCACCTTTAATTAATGGGGCTAGGGGGCCTAACCAGCAGAGACCCCCATGATGCTTGATGCTCCAGAATTCTCCAGGCAGGGGATCCACAGAAAGAAAAGGGCAGCAGGAAAAGGGGAGGTGTGCCGCCCTGGCACCACAAACAAGAGTGGGGTGGAAGTAGCTTCGGCCTAACACCAGGAGCTGGGAGGGAAGGTCCTTTGGACCAAAATAACCACCTCCTGCTGCCCAGGGCAGCACAGCTGGTTATACTTGTCCTTGAACCTCAGAGGTTCATGAGGAAAAGACAGAGAAGCTGCAGACCAGGAGAGGCCTGGAAAATAAGGAAGCCCCATGTGCCTGCTGGGGCAGCACTGCCCAGAGGGTGCCCTCCCTCCCTGACAGCTGTGTGACCTCGGCCATGTGTGTTAACCTTTCTGTGCTTCTCTTTTCTCATCATTGAAAGGGGAACAACTCCCCTAAAGAGTCTGATAGCTCCAAAGACGGTCAAAGCCGCAGCGAGGTTGGCTGCGTCTTAGTCTTGTGGGCACCCAGGCCATCCAAGGGGCATGCAAGGCTTCTCGGGGGCCCAAGGTACCCGGGTACCCAGCGCAGCTGGCTCTGGTCAAAACCAGAGGGCAGGCGCGTCGTTTCCTCCTTGGCCACAAGGTGGCGCCCTCCGCCCCCTCCACGACCGCGAAGGGGCGACTCACCAGCTCAGAGGCGTCCAGACCCCGGAGCAGCGGCTTCTCTTCGGGGAATCGCAGCTCCTGCAGCCCGGCCATGGTCATGTCGTGGAGCAGGAGCCCTAGGGAGGGAGGGCGAAGGACAGGGTTGGGGTCTGCGGCAGCGGGGACGCCCGGGCCCTGCACTGAACCTACGGGGTCGAGGAGGGACCCTCACACCCATCTTTCCCTCCTCGTGTCCCCAGGCACAGACCGTCGCCCCACTTCACCATGCATGAGCTGCGAGCCTCATCTGCAGAGCTTGCTGCTTGGCTCAGGGGTGTCTTTATATCCTTTCCT